TTTCATAATCTGTAAAAAGACATAGAACATTAAAGACTTTTAAAAAATCGACTTTTGGCCCCTCACGGCCCCAAACATTAGGGATCAACCCTTTTTTCTTCATATCATCTAAAAGCTCTCATGATTTTAATGACTTTTTGTTCAACAACGAAAGATTCTTTTTCGTTTTTGAGTTATTCGCATAAGAAATATTTAGGGGCCAAGCCCTCAACTCCTTAATGGGGACGTTTAGCGAAAAATGAAAGGATTCATATTGTTCAGAACATGATTTTGAACATCATTTGTTTAGTATTACTTGTCAATAAATTTCTCATTTTCGAGATATAAGGCGTCGAAGATTTAGCATTCTGGCCCCTTTTTGGCCCCTAATTATGTAATATACGACATTAAATTCATAATATACAGTTGCAAATTGTTGAGATAAACACTTTTGCTTCAGTAATGTATAACAAAATATTGACTGTTTAAGAGTTATCGAATAAAGACTTTTAGCCCCTTTTGGCCCCTAATTTGAGTGCCCAGCCCCTTTTTCTGGATTTCATCTTGAAGCTCTTAGGATTTTGAACACTTTTTGTTCAACAACTATTCAGAGATTCTTTTTTGTTTTTGAGTTATTCGCAAAAGAAATATTTAAGGGCCAACCCTTCAACTCCCTAATGGGGACGTTAAGCGAAAAATGAAAGGTTGCATATTGTTCAGAACATGATTTTGAACATCTTTTGTTCAATATTACTTATCAAAATAATTCTCACTTTCGAGATATAAAGCGTCAAAGTTTTGGCATTTTGGCCCCTTGTGGCCCCTAATTATGTAATATACGACATAAAAATCATAATATACAGTTGCAGATTGTTGAGATAAACATTTTTGCTTCAGAAATGTATAACAAAATATTGACCGTTTAAGAGTTATCGAAAAAAGACTTTTAGCCCCTTTTGGCCCCTTATTTGAGTGCCCAGACCCTTTTTCTGGATTTCATCTTGAAGCTCTTAGGATTTTGAACACTTTTTGTTCAACAACTATTCAGAGATTCTTTTTCGTTTTCGAGTTATTTGCAAAAGAGATATTTAGGGGCCAACCCTTTAACTCCCTAATGGGGACATTTAGCGAAAAGTGAAAGGTTGTATATTGTTTAGAACATGATTTTGAACATCTTTTCTTCAATATTACTAGCCAAAATATTTCTCACTTTCGAGATATAAAGCATCAAAGATTTAGCATTTTGGCCCCTTTTGGCCCCTAATCATGTAATATACGACATAAAAATCATAATATACAGTTGAAGACTGTTGAGATAAACATTTTTGCTTCAGTAATGTATAACAAAAAACTGATTGCTAAACAGTTATTGAATGAATACTTTTGGCCCCTTTTCCTCCTTAATGTGATGAGTCAGCACTTTATTCTTGGTATCATATTAAAGATCTTGGCATTCCTCACAAATATTGTTCAGTATGTCTTAACAAAATAATTATATTTTAAAAGATATGATACAAAATGTCTCCAAAATTCACTCATGATTCGTGTCCTAGATTTTGACCCCTACCGAGCTTCCATATTGGACCTTTCTGAAAAATTTTAAATCCATTGTGCAATTCAGCAATGTGTCGTCTATCATCGCTGAAAATTTCAACTCTGTAGCTAATGTCGTTTTTGAGTTAACTTAAGGACAAGGAGACCCTCTAAAAATCACTGAAAGGGCGATAACTTCCGACCGGAAGTGAATTTCCAAAAAATGAAAAAAACGTATAAGGTCTAGATAAAGATACATCATCTCTGAAATTTTCAAGTAAATCGGTCGAGCCATCTCTGAGAAATCTTCTGCACAAAAATTGTAAAGAAAAAGGAAGAAGAATAATAATAATAAAAGTGAAAAAAAAACAATAGAATAATAGAAGGGTCTTCCGTTGGAGACGGAAGACCCTAATAATAATAAGAAACCGAGTAAAAACAATCTGTTCCCAAACTCCGTTTGGGGAACATAATAATAATAAGAAACAGAGTAAAAACAATATGTTCCCAAACTCCGTTTGGGGAACATAATAATAAGAAACAGAGTAAAAACAATATGTTCCCAAACTCCGTTTGGGGAACATAATAATAAGAAACAGAGTAAAAACAATATGTTCCCAAACTTCGTTTGGGGAACATAATAATAATAAGAAACCGAGTAAAAACAATATGTTCCCAAACTCCGTTTGGGGAACATAAAAATGTAGGAATTCATTCAGACATAGGTCATACTTCACAGTACACAAAAGATTTTCCGTAATTCAATGTGTCCGCGTACTTTTTTAACAACCCTCGTACGTGTTCCATTTTTGAAAAAGCAGCTGTCAATGATATCAAAAAGTCTTGACTTTATTTTATCGTAGGGAATGGTTATGTATATAGTTGTAAAGTCGTACAGTGTAAGTTTTTAAGCTCTTGATTTTGGTAAAATTTGTTATTTCAAATCTTCAAAAGTTCCTTGAAAATTTTCAGTATTCGCATTTAACCTATAGCTTATTTCACGACACAAAATTGTTAAAGACATTGCATTTATTTTGTCTAATGTTTGAGGAAATATTTTTACTTTAATAAGGAAGAAGTTGATGAACCAACAAATGCAGGTGTTATTTCTAGTGACTTCCTTTACTCTATGATAAGTGTACAGTGGACCCTCATTTATCCGGACGCTTTGGTTCCCAGTCAATTTGTCCGGATATGTGAAGCATCTGGATATCTGAATCAACAGTTAAACAAGACAGAATAACATTTTAAAATTTCGTTCCGAGGAAAAATCGTCCGGATACTGAAGCATCCGGATATCTGGCGTCCGGATATCTGAAGGTCCACTGTATTTGTACATTGATTCATCCTGTCATGTATGATTATATTCAAATTTAATAACGACCCAACTATCTTCAAATGTCATAAGGCAATCATTTAATTCAAAGCATCCTTTACTGAATTAGGAAATATATTAACAGATCTTTTCAAGACTTTTTCGATGCAAGGTTGAAACACCTGGCTTCAACCCTATCAAAATTTTTGTATTTTTTTTAATTATGACTATTTTTGCAAAAGTTTGGCTTTATGAAAGTACTCTTGAACAATTTTGAGATTAATAACCTGAACAGCTCTTCAGGTTCTTATGCAACGAACAGACCAATGAGTATTCATCATGTTAATAAAGTGTAAATCAAGAGAAAGTCTATGTACAGTGTAAGAGGGTGAAGAGACTGCTCATAAAGAAAGTGTTATATACACGCATCAAAATTAAAGGGGATATAATAACGAGCATGGTTATGTGTGAAGGGGAAGGTGTCATCCGTGCGTTATGTAAGTAATACATGTATTTCATATCAGGATTTTTATTCTCTCTCTCTCTCTCTCTCTCTCTCTCTCTCTCTCTCTCTCTCTCTCTCTCTCGCAGCATGCGAGGTGAACCAACTCTTTGTTGTGCCCTTATTTATAGGATGTGGAGGGAAAATCGCTTAAAATCTACCGTTCATGGGGAAAGTCATATATTAAAAAATATCTTAATATACTAGATAAAGCCTTGGTAAGATATTGGCTTACACATAGGGTCCCAAGTATTAGATACTTGTAGAATTTCCGTATCATGATATATTCTTTGATTCAGGAAGAAATTACAATTAATGTAACTTTCATCACCAATCCATTTTAAAATAGAATAGTAAATGAAACAGGAAATAATAAAAGAAACAACGGAATTCTGAACAAAAACACATAACATTAAGATTTTAATTTTCTCCCGAAAAGATGTTTTCCCCTTTTAGAATAATTATATAAATACTGTATTAAAAAGAACATAAATATTAATACTGCGTTTAAAAGTACACTGAAATTAAAGTGCCTAAAATTGCGCGCTACGTAAACCTTGCAAAATTTTCGGATGCATAACCTACATATGTACTTACCATTTAATAGGACATTTTTTCTGGATAACTGTATTTAATTAAAGTAAATAATAAGACACGCGAATTTATGCCAAGAATTCAACTTTGATTTTAGGCTGACTGTTTGCCGTCATATTTAGCACCCGCATGACTCGGGTCTGTCTATATTAAGATTGTCACCTGTATCTGCAGTGTACCTCTGTACACAAGTGGGAAGAATAATTCAACCGAATACACACAGTTCTATTTTTAAAATGATAGTTTATTGTGTTTGAAAATGGGATTTCTAATGTTAAAAATAACCGACCTGAAAATCGTCGGAATTTACAGGGGAGTTGGTAAAACACAGAAAGGTGAACGGAACGGACTTAAAAACATTGATATTTTATATGATAGTATCTATAATTTTTTTTCAAATTCAAAGTTTTTACAATCATTAATCCTGTTTTAATATATATATTTGCAATACAATATTTTGTAGATACATATAGGGTTAGATATAGGGTTAGAGAGGCTTCTCCAGGTACAGATTGGAATTACTTTAAATGACAGAGGGAAATTACAGTCTTTTTTCATTTGAATTTTTATTAACTTGTAATATCTGACTCGTAATTCATACAATTATTCACTGAACCGATGGCCCAATTCATTAATATTTTAAAACATACATGTATATTAAAAAAAACTTTTCTTGCAACATGTAGGTACAAAATTTACATTTTCAATAAAGAGAATAGATATCTCCAAATCGTCAAGACATGGAACCTTGATAAGATAAGAATTTTTGGAATCATAATTTTTTTATTTGAAGGATATCTTAAAATATATATATATTTTTCTCTTTGTCTACCGTTCCGTCCCGTATTCCGTTCCAAGTTTTTGCAACTCCCAATTTATCCGTTTTCTGAAAACGTGTATCGTTTGGAAAATCGATTTTTTAACATAAAAGAATTATTTTGGGTACAAACAGATTTTTTGAAATTTACATTAACGTATTTATAAATTATCTGTCTACTCATATTATTTGTTTACGTATATCTAATAGTCTAGCACTTGACCTAACATTAAAAAGGTTTAAAATGTGAATCATGTGCTTCAATATAATGGGATTCCCGTGACTTGTAATTATATTTCCTGCTTTAATTTTTCAAATCGCAAGCATGGCGGTAGGACGTTTCTATATTTTGTGGACATTTTGCTGTGCTCTAACCGTCGCAGATACTGAAGCTGGATTAAAACCAAAACCCCCAACTCCACCGCCTGTAAATCCCTTCACCCCCGGGGACGTAAAATGGTGTGCATGGAAAATGGGTGGAACCGTTGCCCGTTTTGAAGTTCTACCGGGACTCGGGTGGGATAATCTTCAGAACAAAGATGCTGGGATGCTAGTACAGTTTAACTACTCGGAGTGTCGGACGACGGACGACGGAAGGTACCTCATTCCAGATGGTGTATTTACTGTTCCAATCAAATCCAGTCAGCTAGAAGTCTTCGGAGAATTGTTCCAGCATTGGAATAACTATACAGCCACCACGTCGTCTTCTGTCAACGTCGAAGCGGGACTCCATTTAGGAAGTTTCGGTATCAGTGGAAAATATTCTCATGAATCACAAAGCGTACGTAAGCACCAAATCATGGACAAATCAGTGACAACGCGAGTACAGGCTCGGTATGTACGCTACTCGGCTAAATTACAACCCGACACTCCGCTCAACCCAACCTTCCAAAGGCGACTCAAGAACATTGCATATTATATACAGACCAACAAAACTAATATGGCCCGATACCAGAGTCAGTTGCTTGTGAGAGACTACGGTACACACGTGATTTCAAGCGTTGACGCAGGCGCAATCATTGCACAGTTAGACGAAGTAAAAACAACCTTTAGCAACAGTTACAGCATGGACAGTCAGCAGGTAGTGGCAGCCGCTAGTGCGTCTTTCGGGAGTATATTTAACGTCGGGGCTGAGTACAAGCATAGCGTGTCTAAGGAGGTCATTGATCAATATCTAGGCAACCGAACACACTCAAAGGTAAAGACATTCGGTGGACCCGTGTTTCAGCCCAGCAACTTTTCTCTTAATCAGTGGGCCGCTGAAATTGGTTTGGACCTAGTCCCCGTGGACAGATCAGGTTTTCCTATATACGACCTTATCTCAACACTATCACTTCCAGATCTACCACCGTCTATCCTTTATCCACTCGTCCAAACTGTAAAACAGGCAGTAGAGGAGTACTACAAATTTAATGTCTACAGGGGATGTACCAATATAGACTCACCAAATTTCAGCTTTATTGCTAATGTTGACGACGGCACCTGCGAAAGTCCGGAATCCAACTACACGTTTGGAGGAGTATACCAGAGCTGTAGTCAGTCAGGGCAACTTCATCAAAACCTCTGCAATGGACTCACCCAGAAAAATCCTCTTACTGGTGGTTACTCGTGTCCGAGCGGATATGAAAGTATCTTACTCACAGAGGGCAAACGTTCCGGTTCCGAGAGTAGAAGGAGCTGTCATAGTTGTGGGTTTCTTGGGTGGTCCACCTGTTGTGATAATTACATGGTACACGGACAGGCAAAATATCAAGCTTTTTGGTGTGTAGCACAAGGGCATGTTGACCAACAATCTGGATTCCAGTTTGGTGGTATTTACACCACAACGGTTGATAATCCACTTACGCAATCTCATGGTTGCCCTCTTTACTTCTATCCCTTGAAATTCGGTCTAGACATGAAAGTGTGTGTAAGTGATGACTATGAGCTTGGGTTCCGTTATTCAGTTCCATTTGCTGGAATGTTCAGCTGTATGACGGGAAATCCTTTATTCATTCACCAGGAAGCTTCTTCTCAAAATCCTGAGATGCTGCACTCACTTTTCTCCTATCTGAAGTCCTCAAGTCCCAATTCCTGGCCTCGAGGATGTCCAAAGGGATATAGCATGCATCTGGCCTCAGTAGAAAATTCCTGTGAAATCGATTATTGCGTGAAAGCACATGCTTTTGCCAACAAAGGACTTCCACCTGTGAGGCGACCACCATTTATGGCACTTCCTGGAGACGCGTACGTGGATACCGGAGTGAAAGAGGAGTACATGATTAGTGTCGGCGGAGAAAAGTGGACAGATCTAGCGATGGATCCGTCTTACTCAGACAAGGAAAATCAAAATAGCGACCCACAGACAAATAACAAAGGTGAAGTCTCCACTGGTACCACAGCAGGTATCGTAATTGGGGTCACCCTGGTTGTCATAGCAACTATTGCCATAGTTACCTTAATGTTTAAAAGACACAGGCGATCTAAACGTCCATATCAGAGGATGGATAACCCGGGCGCAAATTTCGTGAATCGTCGGGAGTATGGAACAGCTGGTCAATCGACAGAGCCTTCACAATCTGCCTGAACATTTGATATCAGATCTGTATTTTTCTTTTTTTTTTTTTCTTTTTTTTTTTGAAAAAAAGAAATTACTTACATATTTTTTCTTTCATTAATATTGGACTAAAATATTTGCTTTTACTAAAGGTTATGAATGATATATGTTTTTAATAATGTTTTAAATGTTTATTATGTTTAATTTTAGTCATAATTTTTCTGTCGTGAGTTTCGAATGTTTTACTTTATATTATTTTTGTATTTGTCTTGTTTTGATATTTCCGGCTTACAGAATGTCTTCCTTGAATACGAGTTAAATATTATACATGTATGTCTTTTGTAATTTGTTTACAGAGATATGTTTTAGTTAAATGCATATTAAAACTGTTTTACATATCTAAACTTTTCTTCATTTGAAATTGTAATGTGATGTAATAGCATACTAATTTTGTAAAGTTCTGTTTAAATTAGATTTAAAGTGTTTTTGAATCAAAATAAACAAAAATTAAAGTTAAAACATTAATGTTTACATGAACATGCCAAAATTTAATTCTGTTTATAACTTTCTAATTTACATTAGATTGAAACTGGTTTAAATCTCTTTGAAAGGAATAGATGTATATAGTGATATATTTTTATATTGACTATTCTAATTACAATCATTAATTATGCAAAAATATTAAATGAACTATTCTTTTTGATATCGCTGTCAGCTGCTTTTTTAATAAAATGGAACTCGTACTTACCTTGACATTGGTAATTTGCAAATTATTTTATTGAAAATCGTATGATAAACGTATTGACTTTAACTTTTCTATTGTCAACTTCCCTTACTTATGCAGCGATATACTTTCATCAGCTGCATACGACGTTTAAATATATCTCAGTTGATTCAATATGCAAGAGCATGCTCTACGTATGATCAATTTGTAAAAGGAGGTAAATTATTGACAAACAAGTTAATGACACAAGGATATCAGCAAGTCAAAGTCTGACTGACGCTTTTTCATACTAATTGTTTGTCAATTATTTATATACTGAACTGAGGACGGATTCTTCTGTTATTTCCCGATCATGTCAAGGAGCACACGGCAGGGGTGACCGGTCGGCAGGATATGCTCACTCCTCCATGGTATATGATCCCACATTTGATGTTTTTGAGGTCCGTGTTTGCTCTGCTCCTATTTTGTATTATTTTATGGACTTTTGATCCTTAATACTGTTCGTTATCTCAATATGTTTCATAAATGATGATGGATATTATCCTCCAAGTTGAGAAAAAATCTGATAACATAACATCAAAATTATTTATTACTAAAACTAACCTTAAGCTTTAAATCGGGTGTAAAACTCCGGGGTTTTTTTTTTTGTCGTATAATTATTGTTTAGAACTGAGTAACAGGTACAACAGGTAAACCTCTATAAAGGAGCAGATAAAAAATCAACGGGGCGTGGAAAGCATAGGGAACAATTTATTCTATATCAATAATACATATTAATGTATAATTTGTGCACAAATGATCCAGGGCATGCAATATATATAAAGACCTAGGCGGAAGCCTTAAACAGGTTTAAGGCAATATGGTTTTTAAATTAGTATATAGAGTGTGACTAAACACAATCATATTTTTGGTCAGCACTGTGCACATAAACAGTTGAAAGTAAACTTTAAGAGCAATTCTTTGTAATGATTTGAAATTTTATATAGGAGCTGTGGCACGCATAGTCTCATAATTTCTCCAAACTGTCTATGATAAAAGTCGTTGAACCCTAAACTGAAATCAGGCAAAAATTGGTTGCTATGCTTTATAGCAGGGATGGGGTCAATTACTTTAAAAAGTAATTAATTAAATTACAATTACTTTGACTTTTTCTTCAATTAAATTACAATTAAATTACAGGCTTTCTAAGACACGTAATTAATTAAATTACAATTACTTTACAAAAGTAATTAATTAAATTACAAATTACATTTTCAATTTTTTGATTTTTTTTTAATCATATGAATATGCAGAACAGGGACCATATAAGTGCAGCCTCTGCAAACAAAACAAGAAATAATATGCTAGTAGGCATTGTGTATCTTTGTGGTTTAAATCATAACTAGTACAGAACTATTCAACATCAATTTGATGCAATTGCCTCTACACAAAACCTACATGTACACAAATTGCATGGGTTATGATATTTGATGAACAGGGTTTTTTTAATAGAATAAAATAAGTTGCAACTATAACCCCTCAAATTATATATTTCTTTTTAAGATAACCTTAACATCCTAAATTGCTACTTGTGCTGAACATTTTTACTTCATATTTATATTATACTTTTACAAAACGTATCTTTTTTTCAGATACAAAATTCATTCAAAAAATTCTGTTTAGATGTTAAAATAATTATCAAAATGAAAGTTTTTCTTTTCTCAAACTAGTGTAGCATTTTTAATTGAAATAATTATCCCCCTGTATTGGCTTTGTCATCATAATCATAGAATCAGGGGTTGATTTGTTTTGATTGCAATTTACAGCTGTGATCTGGAGGGCAATTATCTCTTAATTAATACAAACAAGAGAGAACTTCATCAATGACACACACATTCCTTTTCTTTTTTTCTTGACACACACATTCTTATTCTACGTTGATCAAACAACAGATATTGAAAGATAATAAATTATGTATGCTTCATAGTTGAATGGACCTATTAAAGAAATGGTGGTGCAAAATTTAGATAAACAAAAAACAAAAAACAAAAAATTAAATTTGATATACTGAATAAAAAGAAACTACATTATAATTAAAAAATAAACTCTCCTTTGTAAAATTGAAGGACTATGGATATATTTTGAAATAAAATAAAAGAAGGCTAAATGGGGAGGTCGTGGTGACAATATATCATGCATGTGTATTATATAGAGTAATTGAATGTAATTGAAAAAGTAATTGAAATTACAAGGTATATTTTCAGTGTAATTAATTAAATTACAATTACAAGTAATTGAAAAAATGTTCAATTACAAATTACATTCAATTACTTCAAAAAACGTAATTAATTACAGCTAATTACAATTACTTTTTTCAATTACCCCATCCCTGCTTTATAGTTACCTTGGTAACATGACTTAAGGAGGAATGCCACACCAACTTTTTATTTTATAGATCTCCGAGTCATC